AAATACAGAACATTCTTCTAACTTTTCCTCCACACAATTCCCCAGGCGCTGCTCGAGATAATACTCCTTGATGTGGCTGTCGTGGCAACGGGCTGGGCATTTTACCAAGAGGACGACCTGGCAGGCACACTCTTCATACCCTACATGCTGTGGCTCACGCTCGCCACTGCTCTCACCCTCGCCATTTGGAAGATGAACCCACGATGGCGAAATGGTGTGCCGTCCAAGGAGACATAAGAAGGGTTGGACGCCGGACGAGGCTTGTTGTTTGATATGTCGTTACTGTTGTTTACTTGATATTTTTTGTACAAGGATTTTGAGACTAATATGATAATATTGATGATATTGATGATAACGATTTGAAAGGTCGTGTCGAGTTGTGAGATGCTGCCCAAGAGGGAGTAGAAAGAAAGGAGAGATGTGTATCTACCCTCACACATTTTTTTAGTTTTAAGGATTTTGAGTCTTTGAATAGGGGAAAAAATTCATGTGGATTGTTATTCTTTTGTTAGGATGCTACAAAGATTAAGTTTGTGATACTAAAATAATTGTGTGTATATATATATGTATATATATATTATACAGAATACAAAAATGTTTTAAAATATTAAGTGTGGAAAGAAATTACATGTAAGTTTTAAGGTTTCGTGTTCATCCTAAGGAAAGTAAAAGTTGATGAGAGAGCACATTATAGATTGTTCCTAGTCTTTGAAATGATTTTTTTTTAGAGGTGTTGAGTTTTGAGCCTGAACTGAAGTAGATTTTGCATATATTATTACAAGATCTGAGGTCATTTCAGCCTTGTATATGAGATGTTTGTAATAAATAGACCCAGTTAGGAGTGTCACATGGAAAGATAAAGCTAAAAAAAAAAAAGTAAAATCCTAATTGAATGTAATTTTAAAGGTTTTGAGTCATTATAACATACACATGCAACACTCAACACAACACTTACTCGCAGTACATTTGACAGGTAGGCTGTATTTCTAATATAAGGATTTCTTTATTCTCTTTATCTGTAATGCTGTGGGGTTGTGATGTAATGAATTGATTCACAAATTAAAGTTTCTAAATTCAAGATAATAGCACTCTTTTTTTCAGAGAACAATTTTTTTCTTTACATGCTTTTAGGTAGCATGTATGTGTACATATGGGATTTCATCACACATCAAAACATACGTAATGTAGAATTATACGTATGTATACACATTTTTACATATTTGTATTTATCATGAGCTATAGACTAATGGTTAAGCAAGCCATGAATGAAACGAATAACCAAAGATATGCTTTCAGTTTAGTAAAGAACATATAGGGCTATAATGAATATGCATTTTTTAGCTGTTCTTTATTTTATAATGTGGTAATGTCTTTTTATGTAGCCATTAAGTATAAACCTATGATTACTACTGCTTATTGCCAGCATTTTACTATTATTGTGCATTTAAGTTATGGAAATTCTCCTTGAAAAAGGTAGATTTAAATTTGATTGATTCATAGATTTTCTTTGATTCAAGATGATCATGCTGTATATGTTTATAATTCTTTGTTTTAAGTATTGATGTTCTCAATACTTTCAGTTGGTTTTGGTTTTATTGTTCTGACTCATTGTATTGATATATTGTATAGACGGCTTTTGAAATGTTATAAATTTTATATGCCATTGGATTTTGTTCGGGTGTCCAAGGATCTTGTATTGAAGTAAGAAATTTATTTATTTTATTCTCATTTCTTTAACCTTTTGTGCTTGTTTCTAAAACAAAAACAAATTTAGATTCCCATTACCAGGCTGACTATAAAAACATTTTTTCTCAAGAAATTTTCTTTAAAAATACAAGTATGATGTCAGTTGGTATTGCTGTTACTTTTGCTCTATTACAGCAATCTTTACTTTTTTCTATTTGGCCTAAATGAGGATGTACTCTACAATGATCCTTTAGACAGTCCTCTGAATATTTTGGGTCAAATAAAATAAACATAATCGTTATATTACCATTTTAATGACACCAGTGTAATGTAGTGTCGCAGTTTTGCCAAGGTATAGAACAGTTTAAAGATAATTAAAAAAAGAAAAGTGTGTATATATAAATATATATATATATTGTATGTATATATGTATACATGTATATATATAAAATATTATTATTGTGTATATATATAATTATATATACACAAAATATATATATATATATTATATATTATTTATATGGATTAAATTCATATGGGTATTTCTTATGCATTTTTGGCTAATTGTATATTTTTTAGGGATAACATCTCTAGATTATTTTTATTACAAAACTGGGTTGATGTGGGTAATTACAAAATGTCCATTGGCATTACAAGAAACATTTAACATAAATATTCCTTTTCATCTTTTATTCAATGGTTAGAAATTACAGTTCTCATCAAAATGAATGAATGAAAAAAGAAGACAAATAGCTGTTCTCATCTGAATATAACAAAACTAGGAACTCCTATGCAAAAATAATCTTTTCAGTTACTTCCATGCAAATCTGACTGGAACTGCATGAAATCTTTAGCAACTTGGCAGCTGGTCCATTCAAAAGTCAAACATAACGATCTGAATCTACTTTTCACGCTGTGAATCTGGTTTGCTGACCTTACATACAGAAGGGAATAACCTCTTAAAATTATTATCTGTTTCTGAATTAATGGACTGAAACTAAGAATAAACTAGAACTGCTTTTCAATTCTGCCCTGAATATATGTAATAAAAAAAAAAAAAAAAAAGAGAGAGACAATCTTTCCTTCAAGTTATAATACACGGAAAAAAACAATGTAACTCGGAGGTAAAATAAAACTTAAATACAACTTAAATTTTCTATAATTCAATAAAAATTCTTGCATGCTGTTTCTTCTCGCCTACATGCTCGTTCCATCTGGCTGCGTGTTTTGAATCAATGTTATGTTGTCTCCTTTCAACAAGATGCGACCTATGGAAGGAGTGAAAAAAATTAATACACAACCACTATAGTGGTAAAAAGGCGAATGTTTTTCAGCACAAGTTCTATGAATATGCCTAGTTTCTGATCTTTTTCATAAAGAGGAAGGTCAACATATGAGAAAATAACACTTGTACCATATTTTTTTTTATAACATATACCAAAATATCACTGTCTTAAAAAGGAACACTTGAGCTTGTAACTTATTTCCATAAAATTGGATACTTTTTGTAAACTGAGGAATCTATGAAATAGTTTATCAAGTTCACATATCTAATCACATCCATTAGAGGTACATATACAACTGACAAACCACACCCTAGTTCCCCACCCTCCTTGACCATCCATTCTCCCCACCACTGCAAGCCCTGTCCCACCTGCTGACTTATCACTGCCACCCTCTTCTCTTCATTGCTCACTCACCAATGCAACCCTATTATCCCCATTTCCCATTCACTAACCCCCCCTTATCACCCTCTTTTTACCTACTCACTCACCTCTGCCAACCCTTCTCCAATGCTCATTCTCTTCCCCATTCACCCCAGCCTGATATTTCTTCCCATTATACAATCAGTACTGTCACCCCCTCTGTCCACCATTCACTGCCCCACAGCTGTTCCCTTTACCCACCAACCACTGCCACCCCCATTTCTGCCCATAATGCACCCACTACTGGCATCCCCCTTTCTTGCTACTGCCAACCCACCATCATCACCCCCTGCTCTCCCCACTTCTCGCTGCAAAATCCATTTCCCGTTCTTCTCTCCATTCCCCAGCCACACCGCTCTCCCCATGCCCTCATACTCACCGATGGCTTTCCTAGTGCCCTTCTTCATGTGCACTTCCTCGGACTGGTCCAACATCACGTTCATGTACTCGTCGAAGCCAATGATATGGCCTTCAATGCGGAGGTTCTGGTTCTCGTAGAGCCAGACCTGTACTCTGGCACGTGACTGGAGGAATCTGAAGATAAGGTTCTGGGGGAAGACAGTTAAGGAAAGTACGAGGACGAGGATACACTTGGTCATTGCCATCAATGTTGGGATATGTGCAGATTCTTTTCTATATTTGTGTTTATATTCTTCTCCTTCCTATCAATTCCTTTAATGTTATTAATTACAGTAAAATGAACAAGAAGGATGTAGAGGGAATGTATGAAGGATTGTAAAGGGAAGATGTGGGAAAAATGCATGAATTATTATAAATGTTAAGATGAGAAGTTAGGAAGACGTATCTGGATAACTGAGAAGGAATAGCCTTTAAAATCGAATGAGATGCTAATAAATAAATTGCTAAAAAGCTTATGTAAAGAAAAATTGTGTGCTTGATGGTGTCTACACAATCCAAGAGGGGAAGAGTGTGTGAAGAGAAGAGAAGAGAGAAAGAGAAATTATACATATATATATATATATAATATATATATATATATATATATATATATATATATATATATATATATATTATATATATATATATATATATATATGGTCTATATGGTACCTGCTGATATCTAAGGAACAAGTGTCAATATTGGAATCATGTTATCTGACAGTAGTTAACAGTCTTCTGGTGCATCCCCTCCAAAGTATAACCAATATGTCAAATATTTTCACTAGTCTATTGCACAATAAATCCTTTTATTGTTATTTTTATCCTGCAAAAGAGACTTGTCTTGGTTATATAACCTACTTATGTGGTGATCTATTTTTTACTTTTGTGGTGAATATCAAATGTCAAATTCCTGCCAATGGCCTTATGAATCACAATTCAACAGAAACACAATTTTGCTGAGAACATTTATGATATAGATCTTCGAGTAATAACAAATATATAAAGGACAATTAATAGTTATTTCCTAGTTTCACACATCCATCCAACCAATTTTTAAATTCCAATTATTAAGTGTCACGTGTAAATATTGTTTTCCATCACAAATAACTGGTTCAGGAAATAAGCGAAAACATTGCTAACTGTCTATGAAGTGACCATACCCCTTGGAGACTAAATCCCTATTACTCTAGCCAAAAACCTTGGGGGTACACCTGGGATTCCACAAACATCATAAGAATCATAATCCTTCCTCACCAAGGGGCTTTGCCATGAACCCAATTGTCATATTTCCCTGGATACCCACTTGATTGCCATTGGCTTACTTTCTGTGCAGCATTAAGTCGCAATCTTATTTTCTGATGTTATTCTTTGCATGTGCTAATTATTTCCTGTACTAATGAGTATATTTCCCCCCTCTCTTTCTGGCACTGCCTTTTACTTATTTATTTATCTATTTTCATGTTATGTATTGACCAATCCCCTGCATATTTTTCATATTTTACACTAATTTCCCTGGTACCATTCGTGATTTCCCCTGCTATCGGGACCAACATGGGAGGGGGAGGTGGGTGTTCAGTAGAGGGTGAGATGCATTCAACAATACCACCATCAAATTTATCCGTTATGCAAAGGTATTCTGAACATTTACCCATAATACTTTGGTATACTTTTATAAGAAAATCTAATGACACTTTCATAAAGAAAGGAAAAACTTAACCCTGATAATAAATGAAACAATCTGCAAAGGCAAAGAATAAAGTCAGAAATCAAAAAAAGGATATGACGAGTATGGCAGAAAAGCCTGATTGGTGTTCTGGACAGTCTCGACACGAGATGATACCACTCTAAATAAGATTAGGTTAGATTAGGATTGTACTTATAATCCAGACATGACATTTCAATACACATATATGTATGTGTGACATACCCATAACCATAAGAAATTGGATGCAGAGGCAGGGCCCCTGATAGGGAGGGGGAATGGGGACAAAGCCCTAAGGTTAGGAAGGATTTTAGTTCATATGGCAATGTTTATGGATCCCCAGGAGTGGCTGGAGTAATAAGAGTGTGGTCACTTAGCAAACATTTATCAATACTTTCACTTTCATTATTTGCTATGGAAAACAAGAAGAGACTCAAGCATAGTACACCATGAATGCAGGAAAAAGGGGTAATTGTTACCGAATGTGACGCACCCTCCAGAAGTCCCAAACCATTAAATTTGAGGCAACTACTGTACCTATTATGTTTTACTTTATTTCTCTATTGCTCTATCAGATGGCATTGCCCATTTTCCTCAATCTCTGTGCATCACTCTATCTTTACCAAAAAAGGAATAACAAATGCAAGGCAGGATGGCTGGGCATTCCACCAGCTCATTTCTCTAGCCTAAGCTTGAACCTAGTCTCTTTCATTATCCCTGGACTTAGTTCCACATGGAAACCTTGCCACATAGCACAGCATGTTAATGTCACATCTTTCATCCGACTTGTGTTCATAACTGCAAACCTTCATAAAGTAGCAAATTAACCCTGGATTCTTAAACCAGAGAGAGATGTTTTTTTTTTTTTGAACTAACACAGAGAACAGCAATTCCACCCACTGTTTTTTTTATTTCAAAGAATTATGTTCCTCCAATATCAACAAAAATAACATTGATGACAGGTCTCAGGTGTCCAAGACATGCAGCCACGTGCATGACATCATTTGGTTTCGAAACTACGATAACCCTTGCTCCAAAAACCTTCAAGTCCTCTCACTTTCAACACCTTCCCGGCAACGATTCCACAACACCAAAACCAAAGAGACTCCAACTAAAATACAATTTTCATAGGAATACACCTTACATACACCCCTCACAGCCCAAGATCAACAATGTCCCTCCTAAAACACCACGAAAACTCCACTCTCGTCGCACATTTTACGAAAAGGATACGATGGGCAGGACCATCACCTTCTGCACCTTGGACTTCGGGGCGTAAGACATTTTGGCGGAGGCTTTTACGGGGTTATTTTCCCTCTAAAAATTTACGAGAGCGGCAAAGAGACGCTTCTCAAGGTAGATGAAAACGTTGTAAACACGAGTCGACTGGAAAGCGCGACGCTGATTGGTCGGTGTGCCGGACTCGACGCTGATTGGTCCGTTCGTCGAGAATGGACGACTGACACGCGAGATGCGCAAGAAAGGATTATTTTTATTTTGTTTGGGTTTATGATTGTTGCTTTTTTATTATCATTATCGTTTTGTTATTATTATTGTTGTTATTGTAATCGTCATTATTGCTATTAAGGTATGTTTCCTTATTACATTTTTATTCTTTTATGATTATTGCTACCATCATTATCGATTTATTATTATTATCATTATTATCATTACTAATATTATCCTCTTTCTCATTATCATTACAATTAGTTCATCATTATCATTACTATCCTTATCATAATGATAATAATGATAATAATAATAATAATAATAATAATAATAATAATAATAATAATAATAATAATAATAATAATAATAATAATAATAATAATAATAATAATAATAATAATAATAATAATAATAATAATAATGGTGGTGATGATCTAGTGTGAGCATCAGTGACCCTATTGCTTTGGCGAAGGTAAGCGCTCTCTGAGTGCTTCTAGTTATTATTATTGTTGTTTTGTTATTGTTGTTGTTATTATCATTATTGTTTATCATTTA